TCAGATGCCTCACAGTGCCATACACACTCGGCGTTCCCGACAGAATCCAGCTTTTGGTATAGCCGACATATACCCCCAACATGCATACCGCCTAGGGCATATTCCCTCAATTATTTGAAATAGTTGTGTGGTTCCATCTCTCTGTGTTGGCTGTGTACCGTGAATGGATGGTCACTCTGTGAATATACAGGGGAGACTTCAAAAGCCTCATGGAAAAAATGGAATTAAAATATGAGTTTATGTAGGTGTAAAAAAATTAGAAATCCATGCATAGCTTTTTCGAGATATGCTTTTCCTTGAGCTTTTGGAGGACCCCTCATAGTAGCAAGTAAAATGGAGCACTCGGTTTTCCATTATTGCTCTATACCTTCCTGTTTAAATGGAAAGAAGCTACAACACGGCTTTGGAAATTCTTGCATCTGCTGCTCTCACTCACATGGCCTGTTCTCCAGCAGTACTGCTCTTTGGCTCATTACACAGATCTGCAATGTTGTGGTGTGCCCTTCTGAACTTGGAGGTGGAAGACATTGGTTCTTCTGAACCCAGCTTATCCAAACCTCAGTTTACTCGTACGTAAAGTAGGAATAACCGTAGAGAGTGCCTCCTCTGCCCGACCTCATGGAGTTGCCAGGGTCAGATGGACAAGGGTACCTGGAAACGGTCTGTAAGCCATCAAGTACTGACTGGAGGTCAGAGATTGTGGCAGGTGGCCTCCGTGAGGTCCTCCAGTGATCACCTCCTGGTACACACACCCTTATATAATCCCCTTCCATTGAACATGGGCTGGATTTAGTGGCTCACTTCTAATGAGTTGAATCAAGTGGGAGTGATGGTGTGTGGCCTGGAGACTAAGTAATAGAAGGCAGTGCGGCACCCCTCTTTCTTCCGAATCACTCGTTCTGAGCGAAGCCATGTCTTGAGCAACTCTGTGAAGAATCCCAGTGGTAAGAAACTGAAGCCTCCTACTAACCTCAGCCTGATTCAGCAAGCCAAAGCTGCTCCCCAGCCCCAGTCTCACCTTCAGATGACTGCATCCCCAGCTGACATCTTGACTGTCACCTCATGGGAGACCCCAAATGAGAATTACCTTGTTAGCTGCCCTTGGATTCCAACCCTTAGAAACTTTGTGAGGTCATAACTCTGTTTTGTTAAGCTGCTAAATTTGGGGGTAATTTATTACATAGTAATAGATTAATAATATGATGTCATCGCTAAGTCCTTGGCTTTGGAAAGAGGGTGACCATCATAGCTCTATATGAAGAAAACCTCCGAACTTAGCACTGAGCAGCCCAAAGAGGTTTCAGTTATGAAGGAGTTGTACTAAGGTGAAGAGTTACTTGATCAAGGTTACTTAGCCATTGCTATTGGGTTAGTGCTATCTTTTATTACTGCATCATTTTGTAAGTTGAGTCTTTAGCTCTTATACGAATTAACTTTTAGTGGTTGTATTTGTCAAGGTCCAGGTAGGTAAATAAAAATCACCCCAGTTATTTTCACAGTTGTTTTTTAGGTTTTTGTTATATGGTGCATGTGCTCACCAGAGCGAGACAAAGGGAAAGCAAGAAATCAACCCCTGGGGGGGATGACTGCACCACAGTCCTTTCTCCCCCATTCTCCTCTTGGAATTCTGGGCACTTACACACACACACACCCCTGCACGATTCTCAAGCTACCAGGTCCAGGACTCGAATTACAGTTGGCAATGTGGGAATCCACTGTCCCAATCACCAAGCCACCCACTGGCCCCCTACAGAGAGAATTTAATCGAAAGAATGTTTACTAGGTACTGAAAAGGCGGAACGATGAGACACTGAGGCATCAGGAAGCTGCCTAGATCCCTGGAGCTTAGAATGTGCGGTGTGGGCAAACGGAGTAGGGTTAAAACTTTGAAGTTGGAGTGTCACCAGCCTGGACCAAGTCCCTCTGTGGGACAAGATAAGGCTGATTCTGGGAGTATGGGGTGACATAAAGCTGGAGACAAGCACCAACTGAGGGTCCAGTGTGAAGGTCACTCACAGTAACAGTGAACACACTGGGAAGAGCAAGTCCCCCTTCTCTCCTGCCTCCTCTAGGGCCCCACTCTAGTACCACCCAGTTGCGAAACCTATCAGGGAACAGCAGGTGAAGCAGAAATGTGCTTTGTAAAGTCCCAGACCCAGCAGCACAGGGAGCGGAGAGGTGACAGTGCCAATCCTTTCTTAATAACCAATTGTGGATTAGTTAGAAGGCACATGCCTTGCCAAGGCCCCTCTCTCTGTCATTCACTGCAGCCAGAGCCTGTAGGGGATATTGGGTCACCAGAAGTTCCCTTCCTGGGGCTCTGGGATTTCCTAGCAGCACATCAGGTGTGCAACTCTGCAAGCAACTGCACACTTCCACCCCAGATTTTCAGCTCTGGAGCCCAAAGCCGTCATTTCTGCACAACAGTCCTATATGCCGAGAAGCTACCATATTGGACTGCAGAGAACAGAATATTTCCATTATTTCAGAACATTCTCTTGGTCCCAGCTGTCCCAGAGTCTTTAGCATGCTCTTTTATTATGTTTTTTTTTTCTTATTTTTTTAGAGAGAGAGAGATTTTTGCTATAGGACACATGCACTCACTGGAGATACAGAAACAGACAGAAAGCAAGAAATCACCACTGGGGGGGGACAG